TTACTGAAATCACAGATTTCACTGAAACCACAGATTTTACTGAAAGTACAGATTTTACTGAAATTATAAATTTCACTGAAGGCACAGCTTTCACTGAAGCAACAGATTTTACTGAAGGAACAGATTTTACTGAAATTACAGATTTTACTGAAATCACAGATTTCACTGAAGGCACAGCTTTCACTGAAGCAACAGACTTCACTGAAGGTACAGATTTTACTGTAGGAACAGGTTTTACTGAGACAACTTATCTACCGACAGATTTCACAGAAGAAACAGATCTCACTGAAGCTACAATATCTTTCACTGAAATAACAGAAACAACAGGTTTCACTGAAGGCACAAATTTTAGTGAAGGAACAGAGTTCACAGAAACCACAGACTTCACTGGTTTCACTGAAGTAACTGATATTACCGGGGGAACAGATTTCACTGAAGAAACCGAGTTTACTGACTTTACTGAAGGAACTACTGATTTTACTGAAAGAACTACTGATTTTACTGAAGGAACTACTGATTTTACTGAAGGAACTACTGATTTTACTGAAGGAACTACTGATTTTACTGAAGGAACTACTGATTTTACTGAAAGAACTACTGATTTTACTGAAGGAACTACTGATTTTACTGAAGGAACTACTGATTTTACTGAAGGAACTACTGATTTTACTGAAGATTTCACGGAGGAACCCGATTTCACTGAGGAAACAGAAGTCAGTGCAGATTTCAGTGAAAAAAACAATTTCACTGGGGGGACGGGGGACACTGTAGGAACATATCTTGCTGAAGGTTCAAATTTTAATGAAAGAAGAAATTCTAATGAGAGAATATATTTCAGTGACGGAACAAATTTCACTGAAGGAACAGATTTCAGTGAGAAAACAAATTTTACTGAGGGAACAGCTTTCACTGAAGCAACAGATTTCACCGAGATAACAGATTCCATTGATGGAATAGAGGCTGCTGCTGGTACTGATTTTACTGAAGAAACCAATTTCAGTGGAAATGCAGATTTTAAAGAAAGGACCGATTCTGTCGAGGGAACGTATTTCAGTGAAGGGTCAAGTTTCACTGAAGGAGAATATCCAACTACAAGGTCATATTTCACAGCAGGAACAGATTTCAGTGAACGAACAGATTTGAATAAGGGAATAGTTGTCACTGCAGGAATATATTTCACTGAAAGAGCAGATTTAACTAAAGTGACAGATTTCACTGAAAGAGCAGATTTAACTGAAGTGACAGATTTCACTGAAAGAGCAGATTTAACTGAAGTGACAGATTTCACTGAAAGAGCAGATTTAACTGAAGTGACAGATTTCACTGAAAGAGCAGATTTTAACGAAGGATCAAGTTTCAGTGAAAGAACAAATTTAAACAAAGGAACGGATTCCTCCTGGATAAGTCAATACATAGATAATACCGAAAACGCGACAAAGACATCAACACTTTATCCTGATAGTATAGATAACACTCAAACTTCAGTATACAGTGAAGACACATAATATATAGACCGAACCTAGGATTTTAGACCAATGTTGCAAGTTCATTACATTCATATCAATAGACTTAATGGGTAGCGGTTTAGAAGTAGATAGAGAGACGCTGACGAAAAAGAACGGGGAAAATATTAAGGAAAAGATAAAGACAAAATAGCAAGAAGAGACGAATGATGAATCAATGAAGAAATAGATAGATATAGGTATACAGACCCTCGAAAGAATGAGTAAAGTGAAATCCTTAATATTATATGTTTATTGGACGATTAAAAGCAAATTTTGAAGTTATACTGCTCCTATTTCATATTACCTTATATATTGTAAGCATGTTAAGTTATGTTGTAAACGCTATGACATTCATAGGTATTTATACAAGCATATATTAATTACACTGGCATATTATATACTAGTAGATTGCATATTTATTCCTATAAGAGGTTTACAGATTATGATGTCAGAGATATTAGTGGATATAAATTTCTATCTTAGTTAGTAACGAGTGTGGTTGGCATATTGTAACGTCACGTGCGATTTAATCTGTGACGCCTTTGTTACGACTTTTTACGTCATATCACTAAGTAATGACGTCACCTAAGCATGGAAAATGTAACGTAATGCAAGACTTCTGACTTGTCTTAAATAACTTCTCAATTTGCTGATGACGCGTGAAATTAAAACAACGATGTTTTGGAATCATAGGGACACTATCATCCCCATCGAAATTTCACGAAACATAAGGTAAAAAATGTTACTTCAGTGGAAATGGAACATACAGATAGATTTCTAAACAAAGCCAAACAAGGTAAAAACAAAGTGATAAGACAAAGATAAGATAAAAAAAAATTAAATGAGCAACTGATTTAACAACAAATACTGACTAATAGACCAGACCAGCCACAAATAATCAAAACACAGAAATTACACTGAACAAGAACACAGATTACTCGAAAAGTCGGAGAGAGACAGACAGATCCAAGAGGGTAAGTGTGTGGATAGACATA